GCTTGAAACACGAGCAGGTTTACTGTACATATTTGCATTTAAACTGTTATTACATTACTATATATTTAAAAATTATAACAATTTATTATTTGATTTCAGTTAATATTATTATTAATTATTGCTTCTTAAGTTATACTTACTATTCAATTGCTATTTTGATATTTTTATTATTAAATAGAAATTGACGAGCGATTTGGCCTGGGATCGTATCATGGCCGGGGAGGATTGACTGGGCGCCAATCCTAAACTATACACCTCTGTTCACCCAGCAGTGAATGGGTACCGGGTTGTTAAACAATTTAGCGGGTCATATGCCAGGGAAAATTAAGATTAAGTACCCGCCGGAAACGCTATACGTAACAAGGCTGGACAAGAATGTAAGATTAGTATCATTTTTTTGTTTTTGGCGACAATTAAAATGATTCATAACGTCAAGTAAATAACCAACAAATGAAACTCACATTATAATAAATAATAAATAAATGTTTATTTAGGTAAGGTACATATATACAAGAGATGCCCGAAACTGCCCGAAACGCTTTGCGTAATAGTGGCTTTAGGCATTGTATGTACTAGCTCTATCTATAAAGCCAACAAACTTTGTAAATCTCTTTATGTATGTACCTTACCTAAATAAAGATTATTATTATTATTATTATTATAGATTTTACAAAGTTTGTTGGATTAATAGATAGAGCTAATACATACAATGCCTAAAGCCACTATTACGCAAAGCGTTTCGGGCAGAACAGTAATGTAATTACTGTAATTAGACAGTAATGGTGTCAACACCCAGGCTTATGTCGCCAGATGTTACTTATTAACACCTGCCCGCTGTCAACAGGTGTTCGCGTCACTGATGATGGAATTCATGCAGCTCAGTATTGGCTTGGCGGTGGCCTTCTCTGGCATTACTCTCCCGCAACTCACTAATCCGGATACAGACGACCTCTTCCTCACCCCCTTGAACCAGGCGCTCTACGGTAAGAAGGAACTCGACACGAACAGATTTTATTTGGTGTCCTATAAATATTGAACTTGAATGTTCTATCTTTCCAATAAATCATTGTATCCATAAACTGGTGGCGTTCCGCTGCTTTCTCTTTCAATGGTATATTAACAGTAGAAACCAAGTTCACATTTCCGGGGAACAAACTAAAGTGTGAGTGAATGTGTAGTATCATTCAAACTATCCAATTAGAGATCAGTATTCAGTGGTTTTTTCCTACAGTGTTTCTGGGAGCTCTGTAAGTCTTTAGTGTCACAGAACTCCACTAACGATGAAATGTAGAAAATCCGAAATCTGTTATAGATGAGCTTCTTATTCTTACATGATTCTTACATTCCTCCTATTCTTACCTTCATCCTATTATTACATTCATCCTATCTTTATATTCATCCTATTCTTACATTCATCTTATTCTTACATTCCTCCTATTCTTACCTTATTCTTACATTCATCCTATTCTTACCTTTCTCTTACCTGCTCCTTGCCTCACTCTCTTACCTTATATTTGCCTGTACCTTTCTCTCTTACTTTACCTACTACAATGGTTAGAAAGCAGTTGTAGAATGGGACCCAGTAGTGAACACTGTTCATATGAATCTGCCACCACGATAATGTTATTAAAACAAGATTAAAATCAGTGCGCTAAAACAGAAGCGTAAAAGAACCGGGAGAAAGAGAGGAAACCCCACCTCCATTTAAAACTTTGACCCAAATATCACATTAAGAGGGTTATCGCAAATAACCGAACTGGGGACGCCGCACCCAGTCAATCGCACCAACTCTGACCACACCACTACCGGCCCAGCCTACAACCTCCACCAAGATCACCCTTTTACTCATCCTCCTTCACCTCGCCGACAAAATGGCGGGCAACGGCACTACCCACTACAGCCACGTTATCAACAGGCTACTCATCGCGAATGGACTTCCGACAGCTGTTGTACCCAATGACCTTCCAGTTTCCACAACTTGTACCGGACCCTCCGTCCCGGGGATTCCTAAGCCGACCCCGAGAGAGCAATCACCGTCCTGTCCAAGCGACTCCGCAGTTCTCGAGCTTGTTCCACTGACAGGGACAGCAGCAGCACCCAAGACAGCTGACCAGGACGACGAGGCCGACTCCGATGACTCGAGCGACTCCCATGCTTCAGTCGATGTCACCAGCTCTCCCGCCCCCTCATGCGGCCGCCCGGGCATCATCATCCCCTTCAGATCCAGCACCAGCACCAACCGGACTGACAGGCTCCCAAGTTGCCGCCTCCGGGTATATCCGCTGTGGCTGTGTACTTTCCAAGGAGATCAGACAGCACAACTCCATAATCCACATAGACTTCTGGGAATACAAGGACAGGGAGGCAAGACAGATTCTCTGCATGGTCGTCCCTCAAGAACGCCTCAACCACCTCTGTGACGACACCTTGAAAAAAGAAATTCAACCAAACTACCAACTTCGGGGAACTGGGAAAAGGAAACTAATCCTCTTAACACCATAAGCTAATGATTATTTCCTCCAATACAGGGAGTCTGGTGTATCTCGGGTTGCTGGTGGGCTGCTGTGCTGGTGGGCCCGTGATGCTGAGCCTGGCCCAACGTATCATCTTCCTGATAGTTGTGTCTGCCTCGGTGGCCTTCTGGCTCCTGCTGGCCTCCTCCGCCAGGGTGTGGGTACTCCTCACCTCCCGGGCACTCCTTGGTTTCACTTTTGGAGTGGCAATACCCATCTCCGTCGCATACCCTATCGAGATTCTCCATCAAGACATGCGAGGAGCTCTTTGTACCTTAATTTTGTTGGCACGACAATTGGGCATATTGCTGGCATCAGTTGTTGGGATTTCCAATCTCAGCTGGCGACAAATGGGATTCCTGAATTCCGGAATGACGGTCATTCCCTTCATTGGCTTCCTGTTCCTGCCAAACTCTCCTCGCTGGCTAGTCACTCGCGGCCGTGTCAGTGATGCTGAGAAAGCTCTCATTTTCTTCAGAGGAAAACATTACGACTTTCAACCAGAACTGAAAGCCATTGTAGAACAATCTGAAAATTCAAGCAGAGGCACAAGTAACTTTTGGCAACAACTACGAATAATCAAAGAGCCATCCGTGTACCGGATATTCTGCTTAATGTTATTTCTTACTCTTTGTGTAGCTTTCGATGGGAGCTACTCTCTGACGGCATACTTAGTGCCCATCTTCAAGACAATGAAGACCAGTCTGGATCCGTACACCTGTTCCATAATATTTAATGTTATCAGGCTGGTCGGGACCTTCTTATCACTGTGTGTAACTGATCGTCTGGGACGAAGACCACTGATCATAGTTTCGTACTGCGTGTGTGCTGTGTGCTTGGCTGCTTGTGGTGGCTGCTTCTACATACAGGAGTCAGGCAGTGCCTCGGGCCTGGAGTGGCTGCCACTTAGTGCCGTGTTCATATTCAATTTTTTTGTTGGTAGTGGCCAACCAATCATTGTTGTGTTAATCGCAGAACTGATCCCTTCATCTTTCCGTGCTATTGGATTCTCAGTGAACAATTCGATATTAGCAACAGGGACGTTCGCAGCATCCATGAGTTACCCAGTAACAGCAGAGACACTTGGGCAACACGGGGCCTTTTGGGTCTTCAGTGTAGTGTGTGGCATCCTGGCCCTCGTCAGCGCTCTCACTCTGCCTGAGACGCGGGGTCGTACCCTGGAGGAGATCTCGGACCATCGCAGATGATTAAAAATCAAATTGTTTCTTTTATTTAAACCTTAAACCTGATGTAGCTCTCTTCTGTAGGCTCAAAGTAAATCCCTCACTGACTACCTAACTATTTGGAAACAACCATCAAAGGTACAAACCACCAAAGCAGGACAAACTAACTACTAGAAAACAATGTATAACCTAATATATTGCCCGCACATTTGTTGTCCAGTATTTACACGTGTCTCACTCTCCTGGAAAGTGTTTCACGTCTTAGAGGTATATTAAGAGCTTGTGCAGCTTCTTTCACTATCCTTGGCTCCACAGCTTCAAGCTCTACAGCTTTTTCATCTGGCGAGTACCTCATAGTTTTTTGGGAGGCGGGTCTGTCGTAAGCTACATAGACAAGTATGAATATTTCTGCACCAGTAATGAAGGGTTCTACTACCTTGTTCCTGCTTTCAAGCCACGAGTATACCTTCGAGACATACCAGACAGCCCAAGACAAAATTTGGGTCAAAATTAGGAATAGACAGAATGTATTACACACACAGATCACACTAACGTGATGCATCAAATGAATAAATCCACAAGGGCCGTGACGAGGATTCGATCCTGCGTCCGGGAGCATCCCAGACACTGCCTTAGTCGATTAAGGCAGTGTCTGGGATGCTCCCGGACGCAGGTTCGAATCCTCGTCACGGCCCTTGTGGATTTGTTCGACAGAATGTATATTTACTTCTGAATTTCTGTATGAGAATCTCGGTGGGTCAGCCTAGTCTGGATTATTTCAAATACGGCATCCAATCATGCCAGCTCGTCCTCTAAAAATTTTACAACGTCAAGAAACTGTCGCACTAAACAGCCCTTATCCTAACCTACCAGAGGACCCAAAACAGAAAACGGGTCACTACGTCAATTTCGGGAGCCTCTTCCGTTGTCTAGTACGACGATTTATGGCCTTAGGTGGAGTATACGTCAAAATACGACGTTCTATATGGGGGACGGGTTGTACACGCACCACCACATACCCGTGCGCCAGGCCTTGGGACCCTTGGATGGGACTTAAGTGCTTTCCCGCCCTCACCACTCACACTTGTACAGTGTCTTGAAGCTCCGAGTGCTTAGGATAGGAAGCTATCATAGGAACTTTATGACGGTGCATTGTGACTTAACCGCGCGCCAGCAACACCAAACAACGCACCAACACCAAACAACGCACCAACACCACCAAACAACACACCAACAACACCAAACAACGCACCAGCAACACCAAACAACGCACCAACACCACCAAACAACACACCAACACCACCAAACAACGCACCAACAGCACCAAACAACGCACCAACAGCACCAAACAACGCACCAACACCACCAAAGAACGCACCAACACCACCAAACAACGCACCAACACCACCAAACAACGCACCAACACCACCAAACAACGCACCAACAGCACCAAACAACGCACCAACAGCACCAAACAACGCACCAACAGCACCAAACAACGCACCAGCAACACCAAACAACGCACCAACACCACCAAACAACGCACCAACACCACCAAACAACGCACCAACACCACCAAACAACGCACCAACAACACCAAACAACGCACCAACAGCACCAAACAACGCACCAACAGCACCAAACAACACACCAACAACACCAAACAACACACCAAACAACGCACCAAACAACGCACCAACACCACCAAACAACGCACCAACAGCACCAAACAACACACCAGCAACACCAAACAACGCACCAACAGCACCAAACAACGCACCAACAGCACCAAACAACGCACCAACAGCACCAAACAACGCACCAACAACACCAAACAACGCACCAACAGCACCAAACAACGCACCAACAACACCAAACAACGCACCAACAACGCACCAACAACACCAAACAACGCACCAGCCAACACCAAACAACGCACCAGCCAGCACCAAACAACGCACCAACAACACCAAACAACGCACCAACAACACCAAACAACGCACCAACAACACCAAACAACGCACCAACACCACCAAACAACGCACCAACAACACCAAACAACGCACCAACAACGCACCAACACCACCAAACAACGCACCAACAGCACCAAACAACACACCAACAACACCAAACAACGCACCAACAGCACCAAACAACACACCAACAGCACCAAACAACGCACCAACAGCACCAAACAACACACCAACAGCACCAAACAACACACCAACAACACCAAACAACGCACCAACAGCACCAAACAACGCACCAGCCAGCACCAAACAACGCACCAGCAACATCAACACATACAACATCAAGATACAACGAATTCATTCCGACTCTTTTTTAGAGCATATCTCTATGTAAACAACGAGAGCAAACTATGCAAGTTCCTCTATACGTAATTCCGTATGTAAGCATCGTCTTTATGCGAATTCCGTGTGGACCGGATTAGATCACGGTGGGGACGGTATCCGGAGGAGATAGTGCTCCTGGCCGCTCTGACTAGCGACGTCTGTTACGTTTTAACGACGGATAATTCTCTGCTCGAAAGTGGTATGCAAATACGGACGGAGTGCGTTGGGAAGGTCGACGTTTAATCCGATGTGGAAATACTGTGTGTGTGTGTGTGTGTGTGTGTGTGTGTGTGTGTGTGTGTGTGTGTGTGTGTGTGTGTGTGTGTGTGTACTCACCTAGTTGTACTCACCTAGTTGTGTTTGCGGGGGTTGAGCTCTGGCTCTTTGGTCCCGCCTCTCAACCGTCAATCAACAGGTGTACAGATTCCTGAGCCTATCGGGCTCTGTCATATCTACACTTGAAACTGTGTATGGAGTGAGCCTCCACCACATCACCCCCTAATGCATTCCATTTGTCAACCACTCTGACACTAAAAAAGTTCTTTCTAATATCTCTGTGGCTCATTTGGGCACTCAGTTTCCACCTGTGTCCCCTTGTGCGTGTTCCCCTTGTGTTAAATAGACTGTCTTTGTCTACCCTATCAATCCCTTCAGAATCTTGAATGTGGTGATCATGTCCCCCCTAACTCTTCTGTCTTCCAGCGAAGTGAGGTTTAATTCCCGTAGTCTCTCCTCGTAGCTCATACCTCTCAGCTCGGGTACTAGTCTGGTGGCAAACCTTTGAACCTTTTCCAGTTTAGTCTTATCCTTGACTAGATATGGACTCCATGCTGGGGCTGCATACTCCAGGATTGGCCTGACATATGTGGTATACAAAGTTCTGAATGATTCTTTACACAAGTTTCTGAATGCCGTTCGTATGTTGGCCAGCCTGGCATATGCCGCTGATGTTATCCGCTTGATATGTGCTGCAGGAGACAGGTCTGGCGTGATATCAACCCCCAAGTCTTTTTCCTTCTCTAACTCCTGAAGAATTTCCTCTCCCAGATGATACCTTGTATCTGGCCTCTGTATCTTGTGTGTACCTTGTATCTGGTGTGTGTGTGTGTGTGTGTGTGTGTGGTGTGTGTGTGTGTGTGTGTGTGTGTGTGGTGTGTGTGTGTGTATGTGTGTGTGTGTATGTGTGTGTGTGTGTGTGTGTGTGTGTGTGTGTGTGTGTGTGTGTGTGGTGTGTGTGTGTGTGTGTGTGTGGTGTGTGTGGTGTGTGTGGTGTGTGTGTGTGTGTGTGTGTATGTGTGTGTGGTGTGTGTGTGTTATGTTGGGACTCCAGTCTCACCGTGTTGACTTTGTAATTGAATGTAGATAGTTGAAACATGAGTCCGCTGGAGTCCACCAGGCACGCCAGATTTGTATTTTTTTGTTGTTTTTAGTCTGCAGAAGGTTGCCTTCTGCTGTTTCCTGTTATGATTGTGAACAAAGGCATTGTTTTTCACCTCACCTCATTCCTGCCTATATATCCACTACTCAATTGTAATAACCCATCATTCTGAAGATGTATTATTAAATATACCAAAGTACTTAAAGAATTTCCTGTCTTAATCCTTCCTTCATGGTCTGCCAATGTCATGTGTGTGTGTGTGTGTGTATAATATATATATATATATATAATCAATTAAACCCTTCTTCAGAGCATCCATCTGTCCTAAAGAAGGATGATGGAGCTGACAGAAACATCCGCATGGAAGCATGGAAGCTGCAACGATGCTTCGACCCCATCAACTAGGTTTTGGTGTCCCCCATGGCTGTGAAGCAGTTGCTCATGCAGCGCGAGCCTATATTAAGCACCTCCCGGAAAATAAGGCATTAATTAAACTAGATTTTACAAATGCCTTCAACCAGGTAAAAAGTGTTATGGTACTGGAAGCAGTTCAGACAAATTTTGCTGGACTACTTCCCTTCGTTTCAGAAGGACACAGCAGAGTATCGACCCTGTTGTTTGGGGAACATGAAGTTGTTTCCGCAGGTGTCCAGCAGGGAGACCCACTTGCTCCTTTCCTTTTCTGCATGGCTGCTGAAGAGACCACAAGCAGGTTGACCAGCGAACTCAACATCTGGTTCCTGGACGATGGGACTCCTGTGTCCCCTGGCAGGGACACAGGAGTCCCTTTTTGGGGATCTACAGCTGGTGATATCTAAGGGAGAGGAGTTAGGACTCATCCTAAACCCATCAAAGTGCTAAATCATCTCATCTAGCCAA